AGTTGATCAAATACTGAGGGAAAGTCCCCATAATACAGTACGGGGATTTGGTCAAATTTCACCAAAATTGAAAAGGAGAGAATTCCTCTATTTTATTACATTTTCTGATAGATATACATGTACTTATGTTGTGTAGAAAGTTTGAGCTGATTCCTATCAGAATTAGATTTTCTTATGAATTTTAAAAGTTTGTCTAAAAATGGCGAAGTACAGCTGTACTACAGTACAGGGTATCACCAGTTTCAACAACTACTGAAATTTCCTACCAGTCTACAAGATAAGTTCCTTCACTAAATATACCAAACTTAATTAAATGATAATACATTGTCTTAGCATTGGCATAAATAACATAATGAAAGTTGGTAAGTGACTCCAGTTACTATCATAATTCATTGTCTTAGTGTTGGCATAAACAATGTAATGAAAGTTGGTAAGTGACTCCAGTTACTACCATATTTCATTGTCCTCTCTTGGCTTACCATTCAATCAGTGAATCTATTGTTGAGTTTATTTGGCATACAAAAACAAAAGGAGATTTTCCATTTAAATTTAATAACAATCAATACACATGTACATGTACATAATCACAGGTCACAGAAGTGGTAATTAAATGAGTGGGTGGTGCTTGGTATTTGGGTGTGGCTCTACACTACCTTGTTCATGCAACTGAGGAGTCTGTTGAGTGCGATTGGGTGAAAGTTCTCTACTCTGCTCCCATGATAGGCTAAGAAGGTACTGTACTCTGAGGCTGTTCTCTGCCATTTCTCCTCTCTCTCTCTGAGGAGTATTGCAACTCAAAGAAACAATATGGCTGAACTATATGGGCAGATACTGAGGTCTGAGACTCAATCAATCAAAGCTAGAAAGAAGAGGAAGTATTTGATTACTTATTTAATGTCTGCTTTAACAAATACATGTACATCAAAGCAGTACAAGGACCACATTTGCTTAAGCAGCTTAAAAAGTCCCTTCTTTCTCTCTCTCACCTCATGTTCAGGTTTATAAGAGAGTCTAAATCCCGGCTTTGCGGGTACAAATAATGTCGTAGAGTAATGTGATCACTAGTGCTGTTATCCAGTGAGTTCAGTTGTTACAGTACTTCATTAAGATCGGGTAAGGTTTTAAAAACACTTCTCTGGAAAGAAGAGGAGAAATACACATACAGTAGATTAAAATGGTGCATTAACAAATGAAATATAATTATGAATTTTCTTCAAAAACTAATTATCTATTTGTTACACAATACATGTACATGTTCACAGCCAAAAAAATTAAAAATTAATTGACATGAGCGGAGCAAGTAGTAATTATATAATGGGCAGAGTAATGACTAACGAGAATCAATGAATAAGTAATTTTATCATCATCATCATCATTATTATTATTAATATACTCACCAGTCGTTCAATGTCCTTGTCTCCATTACTCAGTATGAACTGGTTAGGGTATGGTCTCAGTACAGTGTCATGACGATAGGAGGATCAGACCAGAACAAGGAGAGGAGACAGTCACAGCCTGACATGTCTTTACTCAGTGCCTTGTGTAACTGGGCCACTTCGAACAGTAACAAACTACTACTAGTGACATCATCATCTTTAGACATGATGTACTTTAACTAGTCAATAATAATGAATAATGATAGAACATTAACACACTTGCATACCCTGACATTAGTTAGAAGAGTGTATCTAACTAACTATATCATCATCAGTACAACAGTACATGTAACCAGAGGTGTAGTAACTCCCTATCTCTTTACCTAGGGGTCTACGGGTCTAGGGTATTTTTCTGTTTTCTTTCCTTGGTCTGAGCCTGAGGATTCTTGGGAGCTCGAGATATTAATCTTCCACTAATCTACTAAATTAAAAAACATGTGAAACCTGCACCATTCAATGCCATGTATTGCATGTTTACTGGTACACGTCAAGGCCAAGCACTCGGTTTGTAAACTTTCCGGGTCAATAATAGGTACCCACTCATTTCAAAAAGACTTTTATCTTGTATGCCTGATCCTTCAATTTTGATGATATCTGAGCTATTACAGGATCATTGTATTCTCCTCTCTCAGCTTTGCAACCATCAACTACATGAAAGAGCTTATGGGCCTCTGGATCTTGATAAATTAATTTGCAAGAGTTCTCTATTGGTCTAAATATGTCCATAAGCATTTCCTCTTTCGTTTCAATCGTCTCAATTTCCTTTCCCTCTTTTAGTAGCTCCTTGTATTTGTCACAATGCGTAGCTACAGCAATGACGTTCATTTCTTTAGGTGGGGCCTCAACATATTGCAAGAGATCATGATTATCCAATGCGTGTCGGCTTAAAGCAGAGACTATTGCCAGTAAAAGCTGCTTCAAGACTTCCTTTACCTTTAAAGAGTGTTTATCCACACTGATGACTTCATTTGTAAGCTGCATTGATGTGGAGCTGAAATCAGAGAAACTCTTTGAACGATACACTCAATCAACTTAGCAGTCAGTATCTGTACTGATAGAAAGACCAGTGCTTAACGTAACTTGACAGTACCTCTTCAACACTTCTGAATTCTTTTTCTTGACAGCATCAATAACATCATCTTTCTGATTTGATATATAATCTACTAAAAAGAAATAGTGGAGTTTGGTGTTTATGGAACAAATGAACAAGAAGAGTATTTTGATGGTGGTGAAAGTGTCATCTTTGAGTCCTTTATTGGCCTGAAGCTCTTTCTCTATTATGACCTGAAATCGATCGGCTCTAGGGTGAGGTGAGGTTTTTTCATATTCAGCCTGGAGATCTTTGTGGTCTCTAATGTGTAAACTCAAAACTCTCTTTGACTTTGTATAAACTATGTAGATTATAATCTAGCCCATCCCACAGGCTTGAGAGACTATCCCACTACTAGCTATCGCTCATCTAGCTATTTTTTACTAAATGCTATTATAGGTCTGCTAACCAAATTTTTGAGCAACTTAAAATTTGCAGTTTGGATCAGAATAAATTATAAAAATAAAGAATTCTCTCCTTTTTAATTTTGGTCAAATTTTTAAGCAACTTTAAAAATTTTGAAAAAATCTAAATTTCATTGGACTCAGGTTAAACTTTCTATACAAAACAAGTACACGTATGTGTATCAGAAAAAAATGAAGAATTCTTTGGCCATTTTTTCATAAAATACCGTATAGGGGTTATATTTCACTGGTAATAAATTTTGCGAATTTCGCATTTTTATTAAATTCACGAAATTAAGTTCCACAAAAGAGGTGTGGCGCACTAGGGAAAATGGCTGCAGAAGGCAAGATTCATGAAAATTTATACCAACAAATGGCAAATTTGAACAAATTCGCAAAATTTTATACCAACAAAATAAAACCCCTATACGGTACCCTCCAATGTACTACAGTACAGTACATGGTCTTTGACCAAATTCTTGAGGAACTTTAAATTCAATAAAAATCAAATGTATTTTGTATAATATATCATTCCTTTTATAGTGATTTGTATCAAAGAATAGAGACATGCAATCTATTATATGCCTACATCATTGTAACATCATCTCTGAGTAGACTATGGTAAACTAGTTACCTATCACACATACATGTGTATAATTATGACTGTTCTGATAGGTTTTATTTAAAAAGACATGTTTGGGTTCTATGTGAGATTCAGTCTCGCCTATTGGCTGACATACCTAAACCATTTGACTTTGACTTATC